TAAGCCTTTAATTATTGTAAAATCTATTAAGTCTGGTAGTTTATTTATATCTAAAGGCTGGTAGGTAGGTTCGCCTGTTGATATTGGTGTTAAGTTTTTAGTTTTGATTACTGCGTATTGAGTTGCACCTTTAGGATTTGGAGTTGATCCCCACCATGGACGTTTAGTATTATAATCACCTCCAGCGAGAAAGCGATTTCCTAAGCTGTCGAAATATTTTGTGTACTGTTCCTTGGTTAATGCATGTCTCGGAGGGTAGTATAGTGCTGATAATACTATTTGACCATTATTATCTGTAATCGCGACGTTAGTTGCTTGCAGGTAATCGTATTTATATGCTTCAGTTTCGTGATGATTGATTGTGTTTTTAATTATTATAGCTGTTCCTCCGTGTGCTTTGCCACTAGGATGATTTGTAGTATATAGAGTGTATTGTGGAATTTTTAAAAAGTTTTTATTTGTAAAACGTGTTTCGGATATTAACATGATATATGTATTATTTTCGAGAAGAAATGGTTTAATTTCTAGGCTTCTCTGCGCTAAGCCATTAGCGTTCCACATTACTATTTTTATTTGAGTATTTATTTTATTTCATTAATGAGCGTGGTAAGCAAATTAAGCATTGTATCCATTCTATTCATGAGTTGAGTGATGATGTTTACTAATTGACTGTCATTGCTGTTATTTGCTATTGGTTGAGGTGTTTGTATTTGTTTGGGTTCTTCTACAGTTGTGTATATTTTTGCTCCAGTAGCGCATAAGAGACGTTTGGTCTGACTTCGGTAACTGCATATTTTGGCCTTAGTGATGGAAATAGCTTTTGTTGCAGAAGTTTTCTCGTATTACATTTTTTGTAGCTAGCTACATGATTTCCTCCACAATTAGCACATTTAATTTCTTTTATTTTCGTTTGAATAGGATAATTTGATGTGTGGTGATTTTTCGCGCACTTCACGCAGACTGGTGGTCTATGGCAGTAATTTTTAGTGCGGCCATATTCTTGGCAGCACATGCATTTGGGTATTTCTCGTTTTTTACGCAGAGACTCAAAGCTAATTATTTGTTGCATCAGTTTATTAATTTCAAATATTTCTTTATTGTTTTCTTTAGTTTTTATTTCTACAAAAAATATCGGTAAGGTTGTTTAGTAATTCTATGTTTTATATTTGTCATGATTGAATGTTTTAATTTCTTTTTTTAGTTCATCTAGATCAACAGGTGGGTACATATTTTTTAGTACCGCTTTATAGGGTTTATGTTCCTTTTGTTGAAGTGTATAAAAATCGGTATTTTTATTTTTTGATTCAGTCACGGTTAGCGAAAATAGTTCTGGGTTATTAATTTGAATTTGAATTTCATTGTTATTAAGTACTTTTAATGTATATTCATTTTTAGCTATATCATCGAGTAGGTTTTTAAGTGGGATTATACACTCGGCAACAAAATTATCGCAACAAAGATTTTTCATCGAAAAATTGCCATTTTTCAAATGCTTGTAACTCGGTCAATTTTTATCGTATTGAGATCATTTTTTTTTGTTTTGTAGAAAATTATGTGTACTTTGAGAAACAAATGATATCCACCGTCTGCAAGATAATGTCACATTGCTATGTCTTAATCAGGCATACCAACTTTTTTTTCTTAAAAAATTCAATAGTTTGCACGTATGCCTGGATTACCAAAATTTTTTTTTCGAAAAACTACAGATTTCCTTTCAAAGTGCACTTTTCAACGAGTATTTTAAATCAAAATTCGACACTCCACGATTTTTTTCGACCGAGTTATGCCATTTTAAAGATATTCCAATGTTTTAGTCAACCTTACCGACAAATCAATTAAAAAAAATAAAATAACAGTTTAAGGTGGCATACTGGCCAAGAGTTAAGGCAAAAAATCATTCAACATTAATTTTACTATACAGCGTCCACAACAATTAACCATTACCGTCGCAATCGAAATGCCTCGGCTTACTGAAATCGAATCTGCTCAAATTGTTGCCCTGCTAGAAGCGGGATTGAATCAAAGCGAAATATCCAGAAGAATGGGGATTCATCGTTCAACGGTGTCACGCGTTCTTAGTCGGTATGAAGAAACAGGTTCTTATCGCCGGAGACCTGGTCAAGGTCTATATAATAGGATTACTACAAATCGAGAGGATCGCAACATTGTTAATGAAGCTCTGCGCAATCCAAGGCAGGTTGCGCGACAAATTGGAAATAATGCTTTACCAGGCAAACGAATTAGCGCTCAGACGATAAGGAGACGCCTTCATGACAGAGGTTTGACATCACGAATTCGTGCTAGAGTGCCTAATTTAGCAGCAGTCCACCGACGAGCTCGTCGGAATTACGCCCGAAATTATCGATATTGGACACCAAGAGAGTGGAGACATGTATTTTTTACAGATGAATCTCGGTTTTGTCTGTACGGAAATGATACTAGGATTCGAATTTGGCGTCGTCGACGACAACGTTTTGCACCAAATCACGTTGATCTAACTCGTGCGTTTGGTGGAGGATCCATTATGGTTTGGGGTGGAATATCAATGAACCATCGATCAGATTTAGTGATTATCCCAACCCATGGACTAACAGCGGGACGTTACATAAACGAAGTTTTACGTCCTCACGTAATTCCAATGCGTCGGCAAATGGGTCGTAATTTTATCTTGATGCAGGATAATGCACGCCCTCATACTGCAAGAATAACTCGTACTTACTTAGCAGAAAACAACGTAGAGGTATTGTGCTTGTAACCCAGATCTCAATCCTATAGAACATGTGTGGGATACGATGGGTAGGCGATTACGTAACTTACAGAGACCTCCTGCTAACCTCCAAGAGCTTGGGAGAATTCTGAATGAAAGTTGGCACGAGATACCTCAGGATTCAATTAGAGCATGCATTAATATGCAAGAACGTTTAATAGAGGTAATTCGCAAGCGAGGTGGCAATACACGATACTAAAGGCTTTAAGCGCATAGGGTTTGGAGTCAAAAAATACTGCGGAAGTGACGAGCCGCGGGATCGCTAATGTTAAAAATGGTTTACACAATCGGCCCTTTTCAGGGCCACAATGATGCGTAAGTCCGACCAACAACCTCCTCGCGGTACGCATCGGGTAATGCTGATGTTGGCGGTATTTGGCTAAAACATTGGAATATCTTTAAAATGGCATAACTCGGTCGAAAAAAATCGTGGAGTGTCGAATTTTGATTTAAAATACTCGTTGAAAAGTGCACTTTGAAAGGAAATCTGTAGTTTTTCGAAAAAAAAATTTTGGTAATCCAGGCATACGTGCAAACTATTGAATTTTTTAAGAAAAAAAAGTTGGTATGCCTGATTAAGACATAGCAATGTGACATTATCTTGCAGACGGTGGATATCATTTGTTTCTCAAAGTACACATAATTTTCTACAAAACAAAAAAAAATGATCTCAATACGATAAAAATTGACCGAGTTACAAGCATTTGAAAAATGGCAATTTTTCGATGAAAAATCTTTGTTGCGATAATTTTGTTGCCGAGTGTATTTAAGACTCCATTTACGAAAATCGGTGGTGCTTTCGTGGTTTTCACAGGTATTGTTGTTTTTGAATTGTTGATGTTAACTGTGTTATCGTTTGCTTTTGGTGTAAGTGCTCCATACTGGTTGCTTAATTCCAATTTATTATTTTCTTTTCCAAGCCAGTAGTCACTGATGTGTCTTTTCTTTACTATTTTATTATCGTCTGGGCTATTTCTCGTCCTTTTGTTTTGCACTGTTTTTCATCCATCAGATATATTTTCGAATTCTTCCGAATTCTTTGTTGTTGTATTCACTTTTTTTATTGGTGTAGCCAATAGGCTATGGTGAGTGTAACTGTTTTTACGTGATTTGTTTTGTTTTGATTTGTTGGTGTTGAAATTTATAACGGTGTTTTTGCTTAATGCAGAGCCCGTTATAATATATAATGGAAAATATATATATATATATATATATATGGGCCCGCACAGGCGTCGTAAGTCCTTGTAGTGCTGTGAATCGCGAAGTAGGTATAGCGTAGTCGTCGACACGGGGAATAACAGAAGGATAGGACGAAGAGAGTCAGGCGCGCATAAAAAATAATATGACAAGTAAAATAGAAATAGATATAATGAAATAAAGAACAGAGAGAACAAATACATAATAAACGTAGAAGCGGAGAAATAAGTGTGCGATTCGAGGAATAAATTAGACTTATTCTTTATTAACTTAGACTACACGATTTGACACATAAATACTGCGAGGCTCGGTCAAGGCGTGCGAGCAGCTCGGCAATACTTGACTTCCGGAAGTGAGGTAGATGCGCGGCGTGAGCGACTGCTTTCGACGATGCTGCTGCCAAGCGGAGCCAGAATGAGTTGATTCTATCCCCGCAGGTACTCCCCTTTAGAGACCTTCGTAGGGCACGAAGGGAACGATACTTTTTTCCGTAGTATCACTGGAACAGCCTTGGACGGAAAGAGAGTCTGTGGCTCGGACGAGGCTGGAAGAGTTGGGCTCTGGCTTGAGTGCATCGGTGGAGATAGCCTTTTCTTTACCATTCACCACAATTATGTAAATCTTATCATTTACTCTGTGGTGGACCTCGTGTGGCCCTGTGTACGGTGGCTGCAGCGGCTTGCGGACCGAATCGACTCTCATGTATACGTGCGAGCAGGTTTTTAGATGCTTGAACGGCTCGTATGGTGCCCATAAGATTTCTTAGCTGTGAGACGAAAGCGGGCTGGTTTTCAGGTGCGCTCTGCTCGACAAAGAACTCGCCTGGCAAACAAAGCGTGATGCCATAGAGCATTTATGCCGGAGAAGCTTACAGGTCCTCCTTGAAGCAAGCTCGCAGATCGAGAAGCACGATGGGCAGGCGTTGCGGCCAAGGTGTCTCGCTGTCGCATAAGAGAGTGGCCTTGATGGTGCGGTGGCTGCACTCGACCATGCCGTTCGCTTGAGGATGGTAGGGCGTCATGTGCATGTGCTGTGCTCAGAGCAGGGTTATCAAGGCCACGAAAAGGGCTGCCTCAAACTGCGTGTCTTGATCCGAGGTGATGATTATGGGGCAACCATACTGTGAGATCCAGTGGGTAACCAAGGCGCTGGCGACCGTCTCGGCAGTCATATCAGGCAGCGGTACTGCGAGTGGCCAGCGGGTGAAACGGTCGATGCCGGTGAGAGAATACCAGAAATTCTGTACCACGGGCAGCGTGATGAGATCTAAGTGGATGGGTTCATAGCGGTTTTCTGGTACATCGAAAGTCTGGTGCTCAGCACGGTTATGTTTACTGATCTTCGACTTTTGGCACGGAATACCAGCACGAGCCCAGTTGTAGGTGTCTTCCCTGATGTGCGGCCAGGCAAACTTCGCTGAGAGAGCGCGTGTTGTGGTGCGTGGGTTCGGGTGCGCTGGTGAGAGCAGGATGTCGGAAGCTTGCCGACGTAGCGCGGCTGGAAGGTAGAGCTTGCACATTGTCCTCAATACTGCAAGCTACCTTGACGCCATCGATGTCCAGGACCTGGAGTGTCATTGCGCCACTCTCGAGCAGATGAGTGAGCTCTTGGTCGCTCTGCTGGGCAGCCCGATGTCGCGGGCGAGAAGACCGGATGGCATGCCAATCGTGCACGCCCTCGAGAGAGTGTCGGCCACGATGTTATTTTCTCCGCTGATGTGCCGTACTTCAATGTTGAACTACAGGATGAAATCCAGGTGCCTTTGCTGCAGAGGCGTGGCCTTGTTGGATGATTGACGGCTTGCGTAGACCAGCGGTTTGTGATCTGTCCTAAGTATGAAGGTACGAGCTTCGAGGAAACGCTGTAAGTGTATGTAAGCCTCGTACGCCTCCAACAGTTCCCTGTCGTAAGTACCGTAGTTCCTCTGGGTCTTGGTGAGTTTTTTGGAGTAAAAGTCTACAGGGAAGTGCTTGCCGTCGATGACCTGTTCCACCAGAGCTCCACCCAACATCGTGTCCGATGCATCCGTGGAAAGAACAAGCTCGGCGTCTGGAGCGAGGAAAGCGCTGTTCGTAGCGCCTCGAAGCGCTTTTTTGCAGGCTGTGAAAGCTTCGTCCTGGGCTGGCGTCCATCCTCTTAGTAGGTTGTCCAAGAGCACCTGCAGCTGGGTCGCGTTGGGAATGCAGTGCCGATAGTAAGCCGCAGCTCCTGGTAGTTGATTGGCGTGGGGATTCGATCAATTGCGTCGACCTTGTGTGGCGGCGGCTTTAACCCATGTTGAGAGACCGTGAAACCTAAAAAAAAGACCTCAAGCACCGCAATCTAGGACTTGTCGAGGTTGATGCTGAGTCCTGCTGAGCGTAGTGCCTGAAACAACTGGCGAAGGTAGTCGAAGTGCTACTCGTAGTCCTTGGAGAAGACGATGATATCGTCGATGTACCAACTGCAGAATGAGAGAGGCCGGAGCAAGTTGTCCAGGAACCGTTGAAAGGTTTGCGTTGCATTGCGCAGACCGAGCGGCAGGACCAAGAAGCTGAAAAGGCCAAAAGGGGCGGTGACAGCTGTCTTGCAGATATTCTCCTTGGCCATCGGCACCTGGTGGAACGCCCTCTTCAGATCGACGACTAAGAACACGATGTTTTCGTGGTAACCGAGCAGAAGGTGCGCGATGACTGGCAGCGGATAGCGATCTGGCTCGGTGATGGCGTTGAGACGGCGGTAGTCGCCTGTGATCCTGAAGGAGCCATCTCTGCTGTCTACCAGGAGCAGGGGGCTAGTCCATTGTCTGGACGAGGGCTGAACGGTGCCGGTGCCGAGAAGCTCCTTAAACACGTCCTTGGCTCCCTTGTAGCGTGCTCCGTGTAAGAGACGTGGGCGCTCGTACACTGGCGGCTTCGTTGTGCGAATAAAGTATACCGGGTGTCCACAACCACCCGTCCACCCCTTTTATTTCTTTAGCAACACGTTTTTAGGAAATATGATATATACGAAAGTTTTAGCAAATCAATCAAGGATTTTAGCGGTGTCCTTTAGTTTGACCTTGAAGTTGATTTTCAAGGTCATTTCAAGGTCAAATTTCGTTTTTTAAATAGGAACCCCTATTTTTTATACTGGATTCTGAAAGAACACGAAATTTTGAGTAAAAAGTGTTTTTAGTATTTTTTTTATTAGACGCATATTTAGCGAGAAAAAAATTCAGTGATACCGGTGTCCATACCATCCGTCTAATTCTTCTAAAATCTAGGTAGAATACCTATTCAGCGAATAGTAAAATTCGAAGTCTTGTGCTAGTAAGTGCATTGTGCCTATTGATTGGTGATGCTTTTAACATTCACTTCCGGCCGAAAGTAGCCTACTGGGACAGGAAGTCAGTTTTTTTTAAATGGTGTAGTACTTTTTTATCGTGGATTTTGATTTTACATCGATTCCACATAAAAAAATATCTAGGTATGAAACTTTTGTTTAAAAATCTTTATTGTAAAAATGTACCGCCTAGTAGTAATTATAAATAAAAGAAAATGAAAATTTTCTTTTTAAATTCGAGTAGTCAAAATGCAATGTTCGGTACGAATACTATGCAAAATTAAGTTTACTTTGTCAGAGGTGATTTCGTAATTAAACCCGACGTTGGAAATTATCTATCATTAAAGAAATAAATTATAAATTCATCATTTTCAGAGGTAAGTTTTAACTCGGAAAGAATTTGAACCATTTTATTGCGTTTCTCTTACTAAATGACAAATTAGATTTATTTTCTTTTCAAATAGGTACCTATGGTGTATTCCAAAGAAGAAGCGCACGACATGTTGCAAGTTTTATTTGAAGCTGGGTCATTCCTTGCTGCTGAAAGGTTGTGGCAAGAGCGTTACCCCAACAGATTTCCTCATTCTCGTAAAGTATTTTCGCGTCTATCTAGAAGAATCAAGAATGAAGGACTTGTCCAACCTCATCACAATAAGGGAAGGAAAATTCGCCGACGAATTAGAGATGAACGGTCTGTGGATATCGTCGCATCAGCAATCATTGAGCCAAATGATTCTGTAAGGCGCCGGGAACGTGATTCTGGTATAAGCAAATCCACTATCAGTGTTATTCTTCGGAGCAATAAATTTCATCCCTACAAAATGGAATTACATCAAGATCTGAATAATGTTGATATTGAACAACGTCTTGCATTCTGCAACTGGGCGAGTGGCCAAAGAGAAAATTTTCATCGAATCGTACTCTTTTCGGATGAATGTACTTTCAAAAGTGATGGTGAAGTTAATACGCAGAATTTTCGTTATTGGGCAGCGCAAAATCCGCACTGGCTGAGAATAGAAGACCACCAACGGGTTTGGAAAGTTAATGTATGGTGCGGCATTATCGATAACCAAATCATAGGCCCAATTTTTTTCGAAGGAAACCTTAATAGCTTTAAATATCTCCATCTTGTAGAAAGAGAATTAGCCCCTTTATTAGAAAATGTTAATCTTGAGATACGTCGTGACATGTGGTTCCAGCAAGATGCATGTCCTTCGCACACTGCGCTTATCATTCGAAGAGCTTTGAATCGTTTATTTCCGAATAAGTGGATTGGAAAGTACGGTCCTGTCAATTATCCACCTCGATCCCCGGACCTTTCAGTATTAGATTATTATTTATGGGGAAGAGTAAAAGATTTAGTTTACCGTGAGCGTCCAACTACGCGGGCTAACATGATTCGCAGAATCACAGAAGCAATCCGCTCGCTTGAAGTAGCAGAAATTAGAAGAGCTGTTGATAATTTTGAAGCTAGAGTGCAGGCATGCATTTTGCAAGGTGGAGCGCATTTCGAACACTAAAATAAATAACCCAATAAAAAAAAAGTTTATTTAGGGAAACAAGAACATTACTTATGTTTATTTAGGGAAACATGGACATTATTTATGTTTTTATAAAAAAGCTAGTTTATTATGTTTATTCAGATTACAGTTTATTTATTTGATTTGTTATAAAAATAAAAATTTTTTATAAAATAAATTATAAAAATAAAATAAAAATAAAAATAAACCAATGGCAAGATTCTTTCTGAATTTTTTTCTCGCTAAATATGCGTCTAATAAAAAAAATACTGGAAACACTTTTTACTCAAAATTTCGTGTTCTTTCAGAATCCAGTATAAAAAATAGGGGTTCCTATTTAAAAAACGAAATTTGACCTTGAAATGACCTTGAAAATCAACTTCAAGGTCAAACTAAAGGACACCGCTAAAATCCTTGATTGATTTGCTAAAACTTTCGTATATATCATATTTCCTAAAAACGTGTTGCTAAAGAAATAAAAGGGGTGGACGGGTGGTTGTGGACACCCGGTATAACGGGGGCGCTGTTTAGTGCTGCACGTCGGCTGCTGGGCTTGGTGAGATCAGCATACTCGGCAAGTAAAGCGTCGAACTGGCTTCTTGCTGCCAATTTGCCGGCGGGGTCGAGCAGGATTACGACTGAATGGTGCGAGACGGCGGAGAGCTGCCCTTGAACAGTGAGGTTAGTTGTTGCGTCTACTAGACATTGGCCTTGCATGTCCACCAAGAGTCGAGCGTGCGCGAGGAAATCAACTCCTAGGATGGCACCTGGAACGTCTGTTATGATGAACGGCCACTCGAAGTCACGACGAAGGCCGATGTTGACTGTGCGAAGCATGCGTCCAAACATTGCAATGGGCGACAAATTGGCCGCTGTGAGCGTTAGCGACTGCTGGATTAGGTCGGCCGACTCGTTGATTACCGAACGGGGCAACAAGGATACTACGGATCCCGAGTCGACGAGGAATGACAAACTTGAATGTTTGTAGTGAACGTGAAGGCGGGTTTCCTTCGGCACTCTCGTGCCGTGAGCCGCCTGAACTAAGGGTAGCGGGATTAGTTTTTAGCCTTGGGGTGATTGCAGGGCTTCTTGTAGTTGAAAGCTGCCTTCCCAAAACGACTATGGTAATAGCAGTGGCCCTCTTGACCTGCTGCAGCTGGTGTGGACGAACGGTCACGGCGGCTGCGGCTGCGTCCTCTTGGTTGTCGGGTAAAGACAATTTCGAGCGTTTTTGTGGTAGCTGTTAGCAATTGCGATAATACGGTGGTGAGATTAGCAATCTCCTTAGCCAGCGTAGATTCCTGTCGGTGCAGCGAGTTTGAGCATGACGGGGGCCTGAGGGCCGACACGTTGGCGGCGTCGCAGCTGCGCCCTTGGGTGGGAGATCGTGCAGGCGGTCGGCCGCCTCAGTCAGTTTGTCCAGCGTTGTCTCGTTGAGCATAGTCAGCACGCTTTGTGCCGTAGGTGGAAGGACAGCAAGCCACTTGACCTTCAAAGCGTCATCGTCAAAACTTTTTCCAGCGAGAATGCGCATTTCGCACAGTACTTGCGAGGGTTTTTTTCCTTGCGTGGAAATTCCCGAGAACAGCGTGCGAAGTTTTGTGCTCCGCGGTTTGAGTAAAACGGTCGAGTATGCGAGCTTTGAGCGTTTGATACCTATCGGTCTCTGGTGGCTTTCTCATGATGTCGAGAAGTTGGTTCGTCGTTTCGGGCTTGAGCGCCTCGATGACGAGGTTGTAGCGCATCGTGTCCTCCTACACGTCGTAATTCTCGAAAAACTGATTCTGCATGAATGAACCAGCCTTCCGACGATTCCTTCTAGAATTTTGGCAGTTTACAACGACCCATGGAAACGCCTCGTCCATTACCCAGGAGTTGCTGTAGGCTCTGGAGTTGCTGAACGAGGGTTGCGAGGTCCATGGGCACTGATTGTATGCCGTTGCCATTGTTTGGCGATGTACCGACCATGTCTGCTGTTTTCACTGAAACTTCAATTTGCACGGGTTCTGCTTTAACGCGAATTTCTTTTGCCGCACTCGCTGACATCGGCGTTTGTTCCGCACGAGTTTTTGTCGTCATAACCACTGACACTGCGTTTTGTTGCAACTCTTGCTCGTCAAAGGTTTTCTTGTAGACACACGTCACGGATCGTGACAACTGGCATTGACCTGTTGCTGCAGTCGCTAACACAGATAGCGGTAGGCGCGAGCGCGGGAAGTTTTTTGATGGTGGCGGCGTGGTATTGAGCCGGCTTTTTGCAAGCGCGCGTTGCCGAAAGTCAATCCACTTGGATCACGTCGGGGTCACTACTTTAGGGACGTGTTCGCTACACGTTTTTGACTTACACTGCTTTCGACGATGCTGCCGTCAAGTGGGGCCAGAGCGAGTTGATTCTGTCCCCATAATCTTAACTATAAACCACTCTTATAATTTAAATTTCAAACTTCTAATTCGCCCATCGCCCTGGTCAACATGTAGCGTCCTGCACGAGGTCGGTGCCGACACCAATCGGGCGACAACGACGGCAAGAGGACCAGAGGCGAGCCAACTTTCCGGTTGAGCGTTAATGCTAATCAGCACGACCTTTTGGCATCACTTTCTACGGCAAGAGGGGGTAGCTCAGCAGTTTCTCCGAAAAACGGAATCGACGCTCTTACTCTCTTACTTACTGGACGCCGCCGGGTTCGGACCGCTTTTCAGACTATCGTGCCCGTAACTGTTACCACGTGGAAACATACTGTACACGCGCCCGTATTTTCGCCACAGAGTTTTCTAATTGTTTTTGGTGAAATAAAATGGTAAAAATTTAATCCCGCATTGTCTTCAGATTATTTTCCGTTTCTCCGAATTGGAGAGTTTAGCCGTCACACGCAACGAACCGCCTCGGTCTTGAACGTGTTCTAAAAACGCATACGTTTTGGCATATCGGAGTCTCAGCTAACACACCCACCGCCATCTAGTAAACTAAACTAAAACTTAATGTCAATGCGCATCCTCCAGTAGTAATGATAGCAATACCAAGTTCATTGTCTCTCTCTTTCTATCGACGGGACGCATTCGCTTACATCATGCGCACCTATGGGTGTACACAGAACAATTCTGACACTTAAAAAATGACATGAATTCTGACACCATGACACGTTGAAGAAGAATATCATGAGCCACTGCGCAGCAAGCCATGCACAGGTGATTTCTAGGGTTTTTTAAGGGGCGCGTATATTGAATACAAAGTGATAAAAATGAAAACAAACGAAAACATTACAATACATATTGCCTAAAAACAAATGATATATTTTTATAATTTGACTTCTTTGGCTAGCACATTTTATTAATAATAAGAAATTTACACTTTTCACATACAAATTTCAAATTTTAACATTTCAATTTAATATGAATCGCTCAACAGAATTTATTGCTATTATCAATCACTATGCATAGTTTTATACAACTGTGAAACTTTACTATCGTGTAAAATCTAATACTATTAAAGATTATGTTGTTTGAAAAATTTATTTTCGTATTTTTATAACATTAGTCTTAGTGTGTGTATTTGATACTAGTATCTACATTGCAAATGTGTAAATAATATTTTTCATTACATTTTGAAACATTCTATATAGAGCTAATTTTATAATATAATAGTTATAATAAATCCAGTTATCTAAAAACAAACTTTATTCTACATTTCATTTCAGGATATTCTTTTCAAATTCCGTTTTTACGTATTTTTGAAAGATTCTTTGAAAAAATATAACGTTATACATACATATATAATTTACATTTCTCTAATTTACGGTTTATAAAGCTCTATAACGAGTTTGTCAACAACTCGTTATGTCTCTCTCTCCACATTAATTATATAACAATAATATATGTACATATTCATGTATCTACTTTTATATTATACTACTAGCAGCCGCAGTGGACGACAGCAGCTGAACTAAGGTAAGAGAGAGAACGCTAGCAGAGAGAGAGACCGCGTAGGTTGGTAGGACTAGCGAGCCGGGGTGCCGCGAAAGAGAGGTGCTGCTTGACAAAGGAGGCAATTAGCCGACGCACTATAGGAATTTTCGCCCAACTTTGAACGAAATCAAATAACTCAAGATCTAAAAGGGTTAGAGAAAATCGGGGAACGGCATTTTGAAGCTTTTGTTAAGTAGATTAAGGGAAAAATAGTCCAATTCGAGAAAAAAAAAATTTTGAGCTCCAAATCGAAGGTCAAAACACGAGTTTTTAGGAAAATAAAGCTTTTTTATTTTTTCTAACATACTTACACCATGAAATTTGAAAAAGCAATGCAACAGAAGTGTAGCTCTTGAAAAAACAAGGCAGATAGCATTTTTTGTTTTTTTTTTTACTTCAAGGTCAACGAAGTAATATTCGTCAAATCATCCACTTACCTATCGTGAGTGATTTAATTGACTTAACACAGTTTTTAGTTCTAGTACGGGTTACGAAGCTCTTGATGTGTGGCAAAAGTTCAAGAAACCATTAATAATAATTTGAAAGTCATTAATACGTTGAAGTACACACACAATTTGAGATAGCTACATTTTTTTACATGAAATAATTTGTTACAAATTCTCGAAACTCGTTGCTCATAAGACTGCGCGCCTGTAATGAACTTATAACCCTATTCATCTTCAGTGTCAGAGTATTCGTCGGAATCTACAATTTCAATTGATGACTTGAGAAGACTGGAAATCATATTTATTCATTCATTTATTGTTTCCATAAAAGTATTGTATCTCTGATTCAATGTTTGATACTCACTTCTCTTGAATATACTTTCGAATATTTGCTGGGATTCCATGTTTTCTGAGAATGGCCTTTCTTCTGATTATTCTCTTCTTTATGCCCATCAGAGATATTGCAGGATCACTCATTTCAATTGCTCTATTGTATAAATCTTGGGTACGATTTTCACGAGAACTTTGACGACAATGATGAGTTGTGTTTGATCTGAAGTATTTATGCCATGATTCCAAACCATCTTCAGCAAAATATGCGATTGGAAGAGGAAAATTTTCTGCTATTTGACATCCATGAATCAATAACTTGTGCGTAGTTGGATTCATTTTTGCCCAGGGGTACAGCGAATAGTATAATTTGTAAGTATCGAAAGTAAAATTTTTCATTTTATCTAAATCGAGTACTTTTTTACTTTTGAATGCGGCAAGAACAGTTGCTATATTTTCGACTAATTTTTCGTCGAGTTCTAAGGCTTCTGCGAACGCTGCTGGATTTCCAAAGCATATCCTAGCTAAATTTCCAGTATTTGTCGTTCCAGTACCTTGGAGCAATTGATCCGCTCGAATCGTTAACTTTTTGTACAAGTTTTCTTTGACAACATTTTCTCTGTCCTTGTATTTATCTGTAAAATAATAGTATTTCATTGCTAGCAATCTGCTTTACAAAACTATTAATCTGTATGTAATCTGGAGAGTGCTGAATGACTCGTGACTTTTTCCATCAATTATAAAGTTTAAGTCATGTTAAACAGTTGAAACGCTGCCCCAAAATATTGAAAACTTATTTATGATAAAAAATACACGTACCTTTGTCTTTGTCGATTCTTTCCCACTGTTGAAAAGGCTTGCGGTAACTCAGATTCATCAAATGCTCAAATGCTTTTATTTGACAGTGTAAAATACCTAATCCGAAATTTAGTGTATCTCCTTTTGATGTAAATTTATTCTTCAAATTACTAAATGTAGATGTTGTGAGCTGACAGCAAGGGCATCTTGACGCAGATGGATTGTTAGTAATAATATTCAAACACTTTCCATCGAACAAAGTAGGGTACACTTCAAACTTGACACGAACTTGTTTTTCATTTGATAAAATGAATTTATGAGCAGTGAGAAATTGTATCTCTTTGATCAACCGATCATACTCGACTTTCACGCTATCAGTAGTTTCTTGTTGATAACAAATTCTCACTGGTCTAAAAAATCTCACACTCATGGGAGTTGGATTTATCCAACTGTGCTCGCCATTTTTCGAGTCAAAAAGCTGAATTACTCCGATGCACGTTACGAATAGTGACAGTTGAGCATTTTTGTTTTCTAATTCTCCATTTTCAAATTTTTGTTGAGGATTTTTATGACTCGAAGAGCTGTCAAAGCCTATCGATACACGCATGTGTAAGTTGCGATATGTATTATTAGGCCATCCGAGCGCTACAGCTTCACATAATCGCTCAGCAGTTATATTGAGTAGCTCTTGCAAACGTACACAAACCTCAATGTCACTCTCAACTTGATAAGCTCGCGGATGACACTTTTTTTTCTCTTGCAGTAGTGCTTGATAGCTGGGATAAATATCGTATCCTAAGCTTTTTGTATCAGATATTAATGCTTCGTATTGATTTTTACTGTAGTCATTTTCTAAAAAAAAACCCAAAGCCGAACTAAGTGTATGTTTTCTTGCCAGTACTTCTTTTTCTCCTTCTTCTTCTGTCTGATCTTCTATGATCTTTTTTGCATTCATCTTTTCTGCCATCGATATCACTTCATCATTGTACTTGGGATCATTCAACAAATCTTTAGCTCGATTTCTTAAAGTAGTTCTTGAAACACGCATCTCACGCACATTGATTTTTTTCCGACCACTGTTAATGACATCTCGTCGGACTTTTTTTGGTCTGCCTCTTCCTTTCGGTTGTTTATTTTTATTCTTTCGGCCCATGGTGAGTTACTACTTATTTGAAAAAAGTCGTGTCTTGAAATACCTGGTGATGTAAGTTTCGTATCGTACAATATTCAGAATACTCATCACGAATTTTCCATTCGTTTACCGTATTACGAGCAGATTTCTTACACGAGATTGGCGAATAAAAATCATAGAAACGCTAATTTAAACTTACCATCAGTTTATGAAACGTCAAATTAGACCATACAATTTTACGGAATTATTACACTCTATTGAACACTGGAAATTATTGATAATCGCAGTTCAATCGTAATGAATATACGTGCTGTAAAACTATTCTCGTACAAGTTACTCACTTGAATGAATGTAAAATGTCTTACATCAGTTTCATCAGGACAGAGGTGAATGATAAAGTCAAGCATGTAAACATTGTATACATTACGATTTCATTCTACTGACCTACTGTTGTACAGTGAAAGAGTTTCTAAGAGAAACTATATAGATATACATTTTTTCAGTAATTTATTTTTCTATTATAAATCTTTCAATTATAAATATCAGTCTATATTTTATGAATCAGGTTTTCAACTATTATTTCAATACTCATTTCGATAGCATCATATAATTTTGTGTATTTTGTAAATCTAAAATTATAGTTTATGCAAGATTTGAAAATGATAGGAGTTTGTGAGTTTGAGATATTTTTTTGATCAAATTAAAAAAAAATTAAAAGTGGTTCAATAAAGGTTCAAATTTCGAGAATTTGTAACAAATTATTTCATGTAAAAAAATGTAGCTATCTCAAATTGTGTGTGTACTTCAACGTATTAATGACTTTCAAATTATTATTAATGGTTTCTTGAACTTTTGCCACACATCAAGAGCTTCGTAACCCGTACTAGAACTAAAAACTGTGTTAAGTCAATTAAATCACTCACGATAGGTAAGTGGATGATTTGACGAATATTACTTCGTTGACCTTGAAGTAAAAAAAAAAAAACAAAAAATGCTATCTGCCTTGTTTTTTCAAGAGCTACACTTCTGTTGCATTGCTTTTTCAAATTTCATGGTGTAAGTATGTTAGAAAAAATAAAAAAGCTTTATTTTCCTAAAAACTCGTGTTTTGACCTTCGATTTGGAGCTCAAAATTTTTTTTTTCTCGAATTGGACTATTTTTCCCTTAATCTACTTAACAAAAGCTTCAAAATGCCGTTCCCCCGATTTTCTCTAACCCTTTTAGATCTTGAGTTATTTGATTTCGTTCAAAGTTGGGCGAAAATTCCTATAGTGCGACGCCTCTCGAATTGATGACACGCGTGCGACTGCGTTAGAAATTCATAGCTTGGCTGTGCCATTGACGACTAGATTCGTTTTGTGATTTTGCGTCGCGTCGTGGCTAGTTTGAGTGATAGATCGAGTGCTGAATTGAGTGCTACCGGTTGCGGCGTGTATCGGCGTTCGACAGATCGAACTTTTATTATCGAGCCTCGTGGCTAATCTCGCCGACAGCGGCAGCTGATGTAAGTACCACACGTTCTTTGCGTCTCTCTCGCATTATCCGCTTGGCTTCTCTCTCTGCACCGTCCTGTACAAATACACGTAGAATATATATTTCTATTACACCTATCGCCTCTTTCACTCTGCGCCTTCTATCATTCCTTTCGTCTTCTACACCTTCGCGATTTCAGCTACGCGACCTACGACGCTCTCCGCGAGCCGTTGCCACCCGGCGAATCCATCGGCAGTCTGTGCTACTGGGTCGGTCGTGCAAATCCGTTGCGCGAGGCCGCTCCGTCATCTATTACGCACCTCTTGGTTATTAAATATTGTAGCGGACTAAATCCCCGTTACAGCTCTAAAGATTAAATGCTGGAGTTTTAATTGACCACTTACCATCATAGTTAAAGCATTCATTTAGTAACAGAAAATCAAAATAAGTATAAAAAGAGTTCTTGCTATTAATTTCCTAAAATTAAAAATTTGTATGTGAAAAATGGAACTTTCCTATTATTAATAAAATGTGCTTGTTAGTTTTGAAGTAATTGTGTATGCTGTATAAAGAGAGTATCTAAATATTGTGTACAAGCGAGTATGAGTATGAGGATACGCTCGCAGCGACGTATGTAATATGTAAATAGAGCGCGAGCAGATCAGTCTGTCTGCCACGTTGCCAGCAAGCGAGCGCATCTCGTAATGACTCAAATAATATAAAAACGTAACCAAATTGTATTTTACAAATCATTAGATTATTTATAATAAACTTCCAATTATTATTATAAATCGAGCGTAAACATTTATATATTGATCCTACGTCAAAATATTTAACATGGTAGCAGAGCGTGGTTTCCAAAAGTGCTGTTAAGATAACACGTGGTTATGAAATAAGTGAAAAGAAATAAAATAGTTACAAATCAAAAAGGACTATAAACAAAAGTGTGATTTAAAATTAAAGATTAAACGATTTTGAAAAAAGGGGAACTTTAAATTAATGAACGATGAAAACGTGGCGATAAAAATTAAAGAGAAAAATCGAACTTCCGAACATATTAAAACAAAAATATTGATAAGAAGATAAACTAAAAAAGGGATAAATAAATTATCCAAAAGAAATTTTTCGATTTGAACAAAATTGAATGAGATGCGCGAAGATTAAAAGTTGAAAATATAAGTAAAAAAAAAAAGGAACACGTGTTATGATAACAAAATAAAAATGATTAAATCAGAAGATGTTAAAGTACCGGTGTTTGACGGTCAAGACTACGCCTTATGGAAAAAACGAATTTTATTATATTTAGAGTGGAAAAAATGTAAGGACCAAGCGACGCGTGAGAAAACAGAGAAAGACACTGATGCAGTAGCGTGCAATGAATCGAACATTAAAGCAATGAACTATATATACTCGAGCATATCTAATAAATAACTAGAGTTCGTGGGTGATGAAACGAGTGCGTTTAAAATCATGCAAAAATTTGATAACATGTATCTAAAAACATCAACTGCTTTACAAATTATTGTGAGAAACAAACTTGATAGACTTAAATTGAAAAACTTTGAAAATTCAGAAACCTTTTTCCTAGAGTTTGAAAAATTAATTAATGAACTTAAAGGTGCGGGTGCAACTTTAAATGGACCTGAAAAACTTGATTATTTATTAAAAACTCTTCCAGATTCTTTAAGTTATCTTGGTGATTTAATTGACACTTTAAAAGACGAAGATAAAACGTGTGACTATGTGAAAAATAAAATATTCATGAATGAGACTAAATTTAAAAGTTCTAATAACAATAATGTAAAATCAAGTGTGTTTAAAACCGAAGCTCGTGATGTTGAGTGCAACAAATGTCACAAGAGAGGGCACTATGCAAGAGAGTGTCGTAGTCGAGGAGGTGCAAGAGCACAATGGCCAAGAGGTGGCCAGTACAAT